CTAAATAAGACTCCAAGTCTTGACACAGTATAGGAGATAGGCAGAAGGAAAAGAAAGAATATTAAGACACATTTGTATGCTGTCTCTCTTCTGTGCTCCCTGTACAAGGAGCTTTGGTTTTAAACTCTCTAGAGTAGGAATGTTTTTACTGCATGTTGGCCTATTACAGAATGATGGGACACATGCATTTTTCCATGCTAAAAACACTGTAGTCTTCACAACAAAATTCTGAAAGGGATGGTAATACATCTGTATATCGTACTGTTTGATTTTATGAAAAGGGCTGCTGAAAACTGAGGCCAGTGGGGACCAACCTTGTTGTGGGTGTGCCACAAGTTAGCTTTGCACCCCCACCAACTACTATAATCTTCTTCCCCTGCCCAATCTGCTCCTTTGCTGCCTGTCTTCTCCCTAGTCTGCTACGTGCTATACACAGAAGCTGTCCATGCCACTTTTGTCATGTGTGCTACAGCTTGGTTGCAGCTTGGCCTAGGTTACAAACACAGGTTGTACTATTTCTTATATTTTTAAAAAGTGCTTAATATTTTAACGTAAGTGTTTTTTAACTAGATACAGAGACTCAAGAACAACAAACAGCTACTCAACTTTCAATACAGGCTCTACTTCCATTTTATTAAAAATGTGAGGGTTTTTTTTTTTTTTTTTTTTTTTTTTTTTTTTTTTTTTTTAAAGAAACAACATTTATGAAGTGCACCTAATGTATACAAATTCTAAAGCACATGCAGATTTGAGCCAAACATAATTTCTTCAGAAAACATGGCAGTTGTTGGGTGACTGGATGTGCAGTCATTAACTCCACAAAACAAACGATGTTTTGCGCCCTGGTAAAGAGGGCCAATGAAGGCGGCTGTGCATTACTTAATTCCTTAAGACAGGCTTTAATTGGTCTGTAGGCTTTTTGTAATATTGCACTGCAAACAGGGAGTACACATTGAAATGTTTCTAATAATTGTAATGAAATGTTACCTTGTCAGCTTATGAAGCAGGTGCACTGAGTACCTTGAAAAAGGTTGAGAAGCCTGTGACGATTTCTGTAGAACACTTGTCATTTTTGTTATAGTTTATGTTGACACCAGTTCTACCACTTTTTCCTCAGTTTTATGATACTTAATGCAGGGGTGGATCCAGAGTGGGTAGGGCTGCACACCCCTTTTGGATTGGACCACACCACAGGAGCTTCTGAGGACTTTTTAAAGCCCTTATGGCTAAGTACAGACAGTCAAAAAAGTTGAGGCTGAATCAATTCAATCTTCACAGGTTAGTCTAAGCGGCATAGATTTAACCAATAAGCAATGGAACAAACATTCACTTTTATTCCAGAAATGCAGTCACATACCTGCAGCAGCCTAGGCCAGAAGCTAGGTGGCACTAGAGCATGCCTCCCTACTTGCCTGGAGCAGGTAGCTTGGGTCAAGGCTAGCCCACCCGCCCTGCAAGGAGAGGGTGGGGGGGGGGGGGGGTGGGGGGGGGG